AATTTATAGAGTCTTTTTGTAGAAAAAGAGAAAACACTTCCCGCTGTTCTCTTTGCTTATCAGAAGCTTGTCTTGGAAGCAGTTTTGGTGAGAGTGACAAAGAACTCTGTGACATATGACAACACCTCACATTATTTCATCCGAGTTGTATCTAGGTTCTCCTAATGAGCATGATCTACTCTACAGATAGTTAATTTGTTGTTTATCATTTTTCTCTCTCACTAGCAGCATTATTTACAATTGCCAAGATATGGAAGCGATTTAAGTGTCCATAAGAAGATGAATGGATAGGAGGATGTGGTATATATGCATAATGGAATATTACTCAGCCTTAAAGAGGAATGAAATCTTGCCATGTGCAACAGCATAGATAGATCTAGAAGGTGTTATGCTAAGTGAAATAAGTCAGAGAAAGAAGAATACCATATGATTTCACTTTTATGTGTAATCTAAAAAACAAAACAAGACAAATGAACAAAAAAACCAGAAAGAGACTTATAAATACATAGAACATGCTGGTGGTTGCCTGAGGGAAGTGGGGGTGGGGAAAATTGGTGAATGGGATTAACTTCCACTTATAAAATAAGTAAGTCGTGAGAATGTAAAACACAGCATAGGGAATATAGTCAATAATATTGCAATAACTTTCTATGGTGACAGATAACTAGACTTATTGTGGGGATCATTTAATAATGTATATAAATGTTGAATCACTATATTTTACACCTGAAACTACTCCAATATTATGTGTCAACTGTTCTTCGATGAAAACAATTTTTTAGCAGATAGGTTGTGGTGATTCTACTTATATCATGGATATGGTTTTTCAACCTCTTATCCTACTCATAATTATGTAAATTATTCAGCTAAATTCAAATAAATAATAAAAACAATAAATTTGTAGCATAGCTTTTGAAATGCTTTGGATAAAATGTGATATAAAACCTCATAAAATGGGCAGCCCGGGTGGCTCAGCAGTTTAGCGCCACCTTCAGTCCAGGGCCTGATCCAGGTGACCCGGGATCGAGTCCCACGTCGGGCTCCCTATGTGGAGCCTGCTTCTCCCTCTGCCTGTGTCTCTACCTCTCTCTCTCTGTGTCTCTCATGGATAAATAAGTAAAATATTAAAAAATCCTCATAAAATGAAAAAAGTGTAATTATAGGATTAAGATGAAGAAATTAAAGAGCCTTATGGAAGACAAAGACTTAGCTGCCTCTTTGACAAAAGGTCTACACACCTGTTGTGGTCCTATATGAAACATGATCTAAGGGAGCCTGTGGGAAAGAGCACTGGAGAGGGAGTTGGATGACTTGAGTTCTAGTCTGGGCTCTGCCACTCAGTGTGTGCCCTGACCAAACCACTACTTTTTGGCCACCACTCTATTTTATCTAAATAATCAGAGAATTGGATTAATACATTTTATTATAAGATTGCCATTGGCTCTCTCTAAGCGCTCCACAAAATAACCCATGTAGATAAATTTTAAAGTGACATATTTGGTGAAGGTTATTTGGAATTCATTCTGTATTTGGATGCTGGAAAAAGCAAACAAAAGGCTTGGGAGCCAGAAAGTGGGTGAACATAATTGAAACTGTTAATGAGTTACTGTAGGGGAGGCAATGAAAGGACAGGCACGTTCTGCTTATTTTTCAATTTATATAGGTCAAGGGGCACTTTATAAAATATGTGCTATTGTTTCCAAACTATGTTCCCTTAGGAAAGAAATGATTTTGGTGGTTAACGTGTTAATGGTAATATTTGTAGAATTTAGTTATCGCATTTAGCCATCTGTCTTTTACCCCTTTTATGGGTTGTGTTTATATGTCTTTTCTGTTTTTCATGTAATTAGCTACTTTTGTGCATTTTTACACAGGAGGGTAGCTGCCTCTTCCTGATGCTACATGAGCTTCTGTAATATAGAATTAGATTGGGGAAAAAATTGAATTGAGAACTGATTAAAAAAAAAGATTTGTTTTATGTTAGGATATGACAAGCCAGAAATTACTTTCTAGGCAATAATTGAAAAATTACTTTCTATTTTTTTTTCTTTTCTTGCTCAGTATTTTTTTTTTACTTTTTTATATTCTTATTCAGTTTTAAAATGAATTGTGCATGCAACATATTCCCTGCAGCACATATCTAATTATGTGGTCTCTTTACTATCTGTTTACAAGGCAAAAAATCAAAAAGAGTAGTAGCCATTGTCACATTGACAATGATGCCATAAAGCACAGGCCACAAGTTTATTAAGGGAAATAATTATGCCAAAATAATTTTTAGATGTCTATGTCCATTTTTAGTATTTTACTATTTTTACTAGTTCTTAGCAATATTAATTGGTAAGTCTCCTGAAGATCAAGGCCAACATATTTCAACACTTGAAAATAAAAATTCTACAAATATCTAATGGGAAAATAGTCTCAGTTGTAGAATCAAGGAAGACTGAAGATCAAAAGAGACACAGACCAGGAGGGAGAAATATCAATGCAATCCCAGAGAATAACGAAGTAAGACAGTTAGTGGTTAATTTTTTTGGTGACTACATGCTATGTGCAAATTTATCTGTAGTTTTAGAATATGTTGGATCCAGGTATAGAGGCTCCTCAACAAATGACAGATGATAACATGTTAAATCACTCCACAGGTTTACACAGGTACAGGGTAGAAATGATTGTTTGCTGAATTTTATTTTATGTATTTAGTTTTTTTAATCAACTCTTTATTTTTATTTTTTTGAGATTTTAATTTTAGGTCACCTCTACACCCAATGTGGGGCTTGAATTTACAATCTGGAGATCAAGAGTTTCATGCTCTACCGACTGCCAGCCAGGCACCCTGTTTGCTGAATTTTAATGTGCTGAATGTTTATTTCAAATCCAACTGTCAAAGGACGATAACAAATGTCTTTAATGTGAACAGAGATAGACCTTATTGGTACATTAATGATTGAATTTCAGGGACTAATAATCTATTTATAGTACTTCCTAATTTTCTCCATTGTTTATTTGCAAGTTAAGTGTAAAACTTGGAAGTTAAGTATAGTTTTAGCATTGAATTAGAACAGTCACACATTGAATTACTTAATAGCTTATCTGGATTTTAGTAGACTGACCTGTATTTCATTTTCATGGCCTACTTTTAAATTCAATTGAGTCACATAATAGACTGTAACTGAGTCACAAAACAGGAAACAAGCTTGTGCCAAATATATGGTACAAACTTGGCATATGTGGTGTCTTCATTCTGTTCCTGGAAAGACAATTCTGATAATCAGTTTGTCATGAGTATTTCCCTCACCTGGTGAGACAGGACATAGTATAGGTCCATGTCCCTTACCTATAATTATGAAATCCAAAAAGCTATGAAAAGAGGAAGTATTTTAGGAACTTGAAGCTTGACCAGACCTGAACTCATTGAGCAATGAAAACTACTGAACTAACATGTGACTTTTATAGCTTTTATATATGCCACTTAGTGTGAATACTCATATGCTTTACCACAGAAATATTAATGTGTTTGATAATGGGGTGCTATTTAGATCCTACTGGAAGTGTAACATAATATATGGTTTATGTACCCTTTTTTTCTTTCTAAAATCTGAAAGATACTGAATTCCAAAACATATCTGGCTTCAAGAGTACCTTTTCTTTGATCCAAAATCTCTTAATATTTCTCAATGTTGAGTCACTTTTTTAAAAAAAAATTTTATTTATTTATTTGAGAAAGAGAGAGAGCACGATCAGGAGGAGGGGCAGAGGGAGAGGGAGAAGCAGAGCACGGAGCCCCATGTGGGGCTTGATCCCAGGACTCCCGAATCATGACCCAAGCCGAAGTCAGACACCTAACTGACTGAGCCCCGTGGGTGCCCCTTGAGTCACTTAAAAAAATATTTTCTGCAAATTCCCAAGTACATTCATAATTATTGCATTACTATTCCAAATATTAAAGTCAAAATCCTGCTTTTTATCCTCTCTGTCCTTAGTATATTGTGGAGGCTGAATGGCTTGCTGAAAAGAGCCCTCACTATAGAGTTAAGTAAAATCAAATCTTGGTTTGGAGGCTCACAAACAAGCTGTGTGACCTTGGTCAAGTTATTAAGCATCTCTGAGCATTACATTTGTTTACTTGAAAAATTGTGATGCTAATACCTGTATCGCCTCCCAACTTCTTTTTTGTCTCAATCTCAAAAAAGTATGAATCGTACTGAGGTGAGAATGGTCCTTATCCTTTACCACTTTCAGATTCCATTGTTAGTTCTTTGCAATGGGGATGCCTAAAATGCTAATTGTATACAGAACAATTATAAAATTTACTTTTGCTTTTTCTGCCAGGGCCTCAAGATGCCTAGGCTATGAGTTTAGATACAAGTAACTAGAAAAGTAAATAAAATCAACAGAATTAGTATTGCAATTCCTAGGGAAAGCAAAATAATCAACCTAAAGTGTGTTCTGGAAGCAGTAGAATTATGGGAAAGATGTAAAAATCATGTCAATGAATGCTTTGAAAAACTATTGTGTTGCATTAGAAACCTTTTTATGACATTATTTGGGACACAGTCTATGATTAGAGGTGGAGGGAGGGAGGCAGCTCCTAAATCTTCAAATTCTCCATCAGTATCTCTGATACATATGTAATGTCAGAGGATTCTTGACAAATTCTGATGCAGAAATCATATACATATATTTATATTACTTATTTATTATATATATTTTCCTAGTAATATTCCTTTTTTGAGCTTTTAGGGCTTATTTCTCTTTTCAAAATTGTTTCTTTTTTGCAAGGTGCTATTGCTGACAAATGAGGTTACCATTAGGAGATCCATCACCAGTCAGAGGGTTTTGCTTTATAGCAAACTACATGTACATACCTTTATTTTTCATATTAAATTTCTCATTAAAATTCAGGATCCTTCAGACTGGGAACACTAGACAACACTTGGTATAAGAAAACATTGTTACCATGGAGATTGGGAGCTATTAACCTCTTTTCTTTATTGTAGGTAATTTATTCCAATAGCATCAAAAGTTGCTTTCCAGGATAGAATTTACCATTTGATAGATGTCTTTATAATTCCTTAGTGCCATTGGTCTGAAAGGTAAGCTTTTATAGATATATTTTTTCTTTTGAATATTTAGCCCATAATATTATCTTTGAATAATAACATTAAGCATCATTTATTGTGCACTTACTATGTAGCTAACTCATGATCTCATTTAATTCTTAAGATCTTTTTCTTTTTTTAAGGATTTTATTTATTTGAGAGAGAAAGCTAGTAAGAGTGAGAGAGCAAGAGTGGTGGTGGGGAAGTGGCAGAAGGAGAGGAAGAAGCAGACTCCCCACTGAGCAGGGAGCCCAACACAGGGCTCAATCCCAGGACCCTGGGATCATGAACTGAGCCAAAGACAGACACTTAGCTTGTTGAGCCACCCAGGTGTCCCAACCTTTCTTTGTGGTAGTATTATCAGTTAGGATTAGGGTTGACAGAGATAATTATATACCCTCAAATGATGACTTTAGTAGATGGTTTATTTCTCTTTCCTGCTCAGGTATCCCAGAAATAGTCCAGGGCTGATATGACATAGTGGCAGGGATTCAATCTCTGTTTTATGCCTGTCATATGTAGCTTTCTTTCACAAGATTGCCTCATGAACAAAGCAAGTGGTTAGAGCCCCAGCCATCATGTCCATATTCCAACTGTAGGAAGAAGGAAGGGTGAGAAGGTCACACCTTCTTTCCTTGAAGACACTTCCCAGAAGCAGCATATACTGTTTCCACATACATACCAGAACTTAGACTAATGACCACACCTAGTTGTAAAAGAGATTTTTACAATTATTTATGTGTCTAGCTAAAAATTAAGGTTCTATTGTTAAGGAAGAAGGAGAGAATGGGTATTGGGAGACAGCCAACAGTCTCTGCTGCATTTGAGCTATTATCTCCATCTTACAAATGGAAAAATTGAGTCATAGGGAAGTTAAACTACGATCTCACATTGGCAGAGCCAAGATTCAAACCCAGATCTATCAAATGTTGGAGCCCTTAAGCACTACTTTGAAGTTCCTCAACCTTAAAACAGTTATTTGACTTTATTCTGTCTCTTCATCTAAATTAGTATAAAGAACACCTTTCTGACTAAGTCGCTAGGTCAACCTATTGAAACAATGGAATTCTTTATTTTACCAAGCGTTCTTGGCAAAGGACATAGTACTGGTATCAACTTGTGCAATGAAACCTTTACTTCTGCTGACCTTTTGGATAGGTGGATTCACAGAATTTAGTGACAGGGTTAGAAAATTGCCTAGCTGACAGATTAAAGTCTTATTGCCAGTCTCCTACTTGTTCAGGGTTGCAACAGGTTTAAATGTCATTAAAATATGCTTTGCTATCTTATTGATGGTTTAGATTTTAGATTTTAAACAAGGTAATAGAAACCAAGATTTCCAATAAGATTAATAAGAATAAATAGAAAAAATATTTGCCATAGGAAAAAAATTACTGTATTTTTATGATTTATTCTTCAAAGATAAATTTTTAAGTCAATGACAGCACATTCTAGAATAAATCGGACCATACTTCTAAGTTATTTGAAAATTACTAACCACTTAGGTGGCTAACCAGTGATTTTCTAATATCTTACCTGAGTAAAAATCTAAATCATATAACACATTATGAATAAGGGTCTCTTCCTTCCTTCCTTCCTTCCTTCCTTCCTTCCATTTCATAAAGCTTTTTTTTTTAGCCCCAGTTTTATTCAGATCCTTGTTTCTGGCTAGTTTGTGAGGGTTTTTAATCTTTCTTATGTCTTCCCATCTCTCTGCTTTTCTAGCACCAAGAGAGAACATGTGAATGTGAATGAATAAATCAACAAACAAGGAAATATATGTTTTATAAGTTGCAACTGAAATGTTGCTTTGTTGCTTAAACTTTCTAACATTTTATAGAATCTCTGTGTGTTTATCAAAACTTTTCAAGAATGTTATTAAAATTTATATATATATATATATATATATATATATATATATATATATATCAGTTATTCAACAGAAGTCCTTTACTTAACCAGTTACAACAACACTATGGAGGCTGAGTGACTAATCACAAGCTAATGATTCAATGGCGTGCCTACAAGTAAAGAGACATTTTCACTGCTGTGATTATTTGCAGAAAAGGCATTTCAATGTGAAGAAACAAAATTTGGGTTCAAGATGGTAATGTAGGAAAACCCTGCACTCCCCTCCTTCATGGGCATACCAGATCAATACCTGTGAATAGAGCAATTCTTCCTGAAGAAGTGAGAGCTGAGTGAACAGCTTCTGTACAACAATGGATGGTTGGACCACATAGAGAATGGCAAGAGACAGAGACATGGAATGCATGGGAATCCCACCCCAGATGCTGTGACCTATAATGGAGATGGAGAGTACTGAGGGACCAAGAGCAGATTTATCCTCCTTGGGGCACAGAAAAAAAAACCAAAAACCAAAACCAAAACCCAAAAACCAAAACAACCATGGTTTAAAATGGCACTTAGAATTTAAAGATCTCACTAGCCCCTCAGTGTCTACCAAATGATGAGGGGGGGTGTCATATGGGGTGCTCTTGAGCGTCAGAAGGACTGGTGAGCACCATTGTTTTTGCTCACCATTCATCTTGATAGCATAGACAGCAGCAGGGTCTGGGTACCCTAGCCAGCCTGCCACTTTAGTAAGTCTGGGCCCCTAGCCCCATACCAGCCCCCGCGTGACCCCCAGGGTAGCCCCCACCCACACACCTGTCCAAGCTCCAGCCATACCACTAAGGTGGCCTTAGCACAGCACACACCAGAACACACCTGGACAGTAGCCCTGCAGTTCCAGCTGTCTGGCTGAGACAACACAGGTGCCAAGCTCCCTGAGACAAAACTGGCCTATAGCTGTTTCAGCTCCAAATGACTCATCAGGGCACCCTCTGCATAGAGTCCCCTGAGACTGCCTAGCACCAACCCACTTCAGGTCCAGCTATCCTGCCAGTCCCTCATGTGGAGAATTCTGAGACCTTCTGGCCCATGCCCATCTCAGCTCCAGCTGTCCTGCAAGGCTGCTTCCTCCTTGGAAGGACTACCCCCGGACTACCCAGTCTGCACCCATTTCAGCTCTAGCCATCCTGCCAGGGAGTCCTTTGCATGGAACACCCTGAGAACATCCTCCCCTAGCCTCCTGTCCTCCTCAGCCTGCACCTACTTCAGCTTCAGTTGTCTGGCATCTCTGTGTAGAGTGCCCTGTGACTCCCCAGTCTATGCCTGCTATAGCTCAAGCCCGCCAGCCAAAGCCACCAGACACATGCAATCTACCCAGAGATGTTCCTACAGAAGACCATTCCTTTGAGACTGACTGGAAGAAGTGCTTTACTATTTAATTCATAGAAACATGGTTAATCAAAATGAGGAGACAGGGCAGCTCGGGTGGCTCAGTGGTTTAGCACCACCTTTAGCCCAGGGTGTGATCATGGAGACCCAGGATCGAGTCCCACGTCGGGCTCCCTGCATGGAGCCTGCTTCTCCCTCTACCTGTGTCTCTGTCTCTGTCTCTCTCTCTCTGTGTGTCTCTTATTAATAAATAAAATCTTAAAAAAATGAAGAGAGGAATATGCCCCAAATGAAAGAAAAAGACCAAACTCTAGAAAGGGAACTAAGCAAAACAAAGATAAGCACTCTACCTGAGAAAGAGTTCAAAGCAATGGTCATTGAACTTGAGAGAAGGTAGATGAACTCAGTGAAAAGTTCAACAATAAGATAGAACCAATCAGGCTGAAGAATACAATAACTGAAATGAAAAACACACTAGAGGAAATCAAAAGAAGATTAGAGGATGCAGAACAGATCAGTTGCTTTGAAAGATAGGGTATTGGAAAGCAACCAAGCTGAACAGCAAAAAGAAAAAAGAATTAAAAAAATAAGGATACATTAAAGGATCTCTGGGACAAAATCAAGTGTACTAACATTCTCAGTATAGGGGTTCCAGAAGGAAAAGAGAGAGAGAAAGGAGTAGAACTTATTTGAAGAAATAATAGCTAAAAACTTTCCTAATCTGGGGGAATCAAATAGAATCCAGATTCAGGTAGTGCAGAGAGCTTCAAACAAACAAACAAACAAACAAAAACAAAAAACAAACCCATAGAGATCCAGACCAAGACACATAATAATTAAAATGTAAAAGTTTAAAAAAAAAGGTAAAAGATTCAAGATAAAGACAGAATCTGAAGAGCAGCAAGAGAAAATCAAGTGTTAAATACAAGAGGCTATCAGTTGATTTTTTTAGCACAAACTTCGCAGGTCAGAAGAGAGTGGCATGATGTAGTCAATGCCCTAACAAGACAAACCTATAGCCAAGAACACTATTTCCAGAAAGTGATTATTCAGAATTGAAGTTGAGAGATAATTTTCCAGACAAACGTTAAAGGAATTTATCACCACTAAACCAACCTTACAAGGAATGTTAAAGGAATTTCTACAAGTGGAAAAGAAAAGATGGAAAAGATCTTATCTTTTTGTAGTTATCTACAAGGAAAAAAATATGAAAGGAAAAAATTTCACAAGTGAAAGCAAACGCACAATAAAGGTACTAGACCAATCACTTATAAAGCTGGTATGAAGATTAAAAGACAAAAGTAGTAAAATCAAGTCTATCTAAGAATTAGTTAAGAGACTCACAAAATAAAAAGATGTAAAATACGACATCGTATACTTAAAATGTGGAGGCGGGGCAAGGGCACCTGGGTAGTGCAGTCAGTTAAATATCTGACTGTTGGTTTTGGCTCAGGTTGTGATCTCAGGGTCATGAGATCGAGCCCTGCACTGGGCTCTGTGTTCAGTACAGAATTGGCTTTAGACTCTGTCTCCCTTTCTCTTTGCCCACCCCCCTGCTCTCTAAAATAAATAAATAAATCCTTTAAAAGATAAGGAGGAGGAATAAAAATATAGTACTTTTAGAATGTGTTTCAACTTAAGTGACCATCAACTTCATAAAGACTGCTATATATTAGGGATGTTATATACAAGCCTTTATGGTAACCACAAACCAAAAACCTGTAATAGATATACAAAAAAGATAAAGAGAA